TTATGTTTTTCTAGGTCTAGGCCCAGAACTGGCTGCCCACCGTTTGACTTTGGCGGTGTATCAGAATTCGTTTTAAGATGTTTGACCATAATGTCGACCGGAAATAGATATTGCAGCCTTTGGTTCCATATTGTCAATTATCTGACCGTGAGTTCTGTTTCGACCTTGGAACCTGCATGTTTTAATACAAATATTATTTCCTAAAACCGTGATTAAAGACTTAAAGTAGACGACAAAATAGTGAATAATATTAAAGGAACTTCAAAAACTGTTCCCGGTTGGAACTCCTGAATACTCTTGAACAGGCACTTGACAAAGATCACAAGAAGCTATATAAACTGCAAATGAGCTACAACTGATTGTCCAGAGGCTCCTCTAGTTCATCCTCTGATGATGGCAACAGAGTAGACTGGTTTCCACCACAGCCAACAGCTTTTGCCCTCTGAAAGTAAAAGGACAAAAATGAAGACATTTATACCCGAAACCAGCAATCCACTATAACTTGCATGCCCCACTAAATTGATAAAAAAAAAATTTACATGAAGAAGGTTTAGATTCAGGCCCTTCAAAATACCTCGCTTAACTCTGCTTACAATAATAACATTTAGATTGCGTGTGACTAAGTGATGGAGAGGGATATTTATTTCTCCAAAAACACGTTTTTTTTCATTTCTTCAATTAACGGTTGAATTGAGCCTTAACCTCTTTCCTCGGGAGAACGACTTATAGTAGAAGCGAGATTTCATTCACTGGAAGGCAATTACAGGTTGGGAGAAATGGTGGTCTACCCCTTCTCGGAAAGTAAAAATATAAAACCAAACAAGACCTAAAACTTTTAGCCTACACTAGTTGAACAGTTGGCTTAAATTTTTTTCGGCGTGTAATTTAGTTATCATCATGATCATCTTGTTCATTGCGAAATTTTGAGCGGCAACTCGCACAGTAAATTTGGCAGCATCGGATTGGAAAGGAGAATAATTTACATGGCGTAGCGACCACTCCGATTTTTCGACGTATCTCGTCGCAGCATCTAAATAATGATCCGCGCTATTGCTTTGTTATCCTTTTATTCTTCTTTTTTCCGATCACTGACTGTTAGTCGTTTCCGTGTACTCACTCGCAGTTTTTTTTCTGCAAGCAGACATACAGCATCTCCGTCGTTCGCAGGACTCGGGAGTTCATGTGATAACCTAAGAATTATGTAGTCCATTTATTTTTGGGCTATTCGTAATTGTTCAACTGTGATAAGTAATGGCTTATTGAAAAAATACACGAATTACATATCTTGAAAGTTTGAGAAAATTAACAACGAATATTATTGGAAGGAAGAGCATGTTTTTAGATAAATTCATCCTTCACCTAAATTTTGAAAACGTTGTTATTTTGTTGTTTAAAAACAACGTTTCTAACGAATACATCACACTGGGAAAGAAAAAAAATACATTGGATCTAGAGTCTAGACTCTTGAAAACATTGAGAAGACAAAGGATTCTTGATTCAATCAGATTTAAGCTTAAATCAAAAGGAAATCCGCTCAAATTAAGAGGCTTGGTTCTTGATTTAAGCTTAAATCTGAATGAATCAAAAGTATTTTTTCTTGTCGATGTTTTTAAGAGTCTGGACTCTTTATCCAATGTGTTTTTTTTTCAAGTGCAATCAGAGTATTCAACAAAATAAAATAATGCAAGAAAGTTAGTTCCCCAAGAAGAAATGATAAAAACTCTTTCTTTCCAAAGCTCTGCCTCTCTATTGACGGATGCTCTCCGCTTTTCACTTCCGCTTTTTCAAATAAAATGACGCAAGAACTTTAGTTTCCCAAGAAGGAAGGATAGAAACTCATTATTTCCAAAGCTCTGCCTCTCTATTGACGGATACTCTCTGCTTTTTACGTATTTCAGCCTGCAGCACTTTCAACTGTATCTAATCGTTACACCCACCTAAAGTGAGAAAGGAAATAATCACTCAATTGGCCAAAATACTATGAACATACAATGAATGGTAACGAGTAAATGCGATTTTTTCGGAGATTGCGATGAGGCTACCATTTCCAACGTAACACTAACAGGCATATCTGTATTTTCCTCGCGGCGCACGACCGCAGCCGCCAGACCCGACCACTGAATAATTTAGGTTAATGCTCTCTCGTCAAACAAGCTGTAAGCAAACTACCGAAAAATAAGGAGGAAGCAGGCTGCGGAGCTCAAGAGCCGAGACAAGGAGATTGCCGGATTCGACGGGAACCCAAGTTTCCAATCCGTGATAACGATTCGGGTAATGACAGGGCAAGTTTCCCGGCCAAATCTGCAGACGCCGTCGAGGGGATGAACGCTAAGACTCGCGATCGGAGACAAAGAATATGGAATTTCTAAGATGATGAAACAACTGCTTCCGCGATGAATCATCCCTCATTTTTATTCTCTCGATCTGACGAAAATACAAAGCGATGCTAACCGAAGAATATTATTACGGGGAGGAATTCGAGACCCCACCAATTAAGAGCCTTTTTGCTCGGCGGGAGCAGGGAGCGTGGAAAGAAAATACGACTCCCTCCAATCAAAATAATTCACGAGTGATATCGCTGCCAACCGTCGTTGTAAAAACCAATTTTTAATATCTCAGGAAACTTCCCCGGGAATCAGTCGAAAGGATTTAGGCGGATCATGAGTCGATAATGGAGATGTTGCGTGTGTGAGGAATTTGCGATTTGACTGTTGATTCTTACGTGAAAGTTTGCGATGAACACGATGGTGCCACTGGTTCTCTCTGAAATCAACTCCCAAGCTCAATAACAGCTCTCAAAATGACCATTTGGCTCTCCATTTTGGCCTCATTTTGAAAGCTTTTTTTGAGCTTGGGAGTCAATTTCAGAGAGGACCAGTGGCACCATAGTATTTCTCGCGAACTTTTACGTAAGAATCAATAGTCAAATCGCAAATTCCTCTCACATGCAACATCTCCATTGAGACTTGTACACTTACGGTATGTGCGATCCACGAGTCGATCTTCATGATTAGGGTCATCATTGCACATACGTACAGCTTCGTGTAAATTTTTATTAGCCTGCACGTAACAATAAATTGTGTGAATTTCGTCGACGTTCTCCCGACGTACCATGCCAATCACAATTTGATTCCTAATGATATTTCGTCAACGAAAACTTATGAGCGAAAAAACGCGAAAAAAATTTAGAACTCACTCTACTTTTCACAAGGTGTTCGCAGAAATACAAGTCACCAATTTACCTGTTGCTCGATAAGTCGAAGAGAGAATCGCGAAATGTCATGACTATTTGGCCAAAAAAGATGTCAAAAGTATGTCAAAAGAATGAAGAATGAGTAAATGCAATGAAAAGAATTGAATCTCTAACCATTATGCTTCGAATTAAATATCATTCATTTCATCTCTGAGGTCTCTCGGCTTGCGCCATCATCAGAGGAAAGTCATCACAGATAATCAACAAAAGCATTATCTACACACATAATGATACAACCCGATAAAGAAAAGAGAAAAATAACGTATCCATGAGTCACGTTGAATTATAAATTCATCAAGCATAATAGGCGATGACCCAATTGTATGTGGATAAGACATATGAAATTCTGGTCCTAGGGAGTCAAAAATATACTTTTGTATAAAATAAATCTACGGGCGAGACGCGAGAGGAAGATAACCCTCGGTTTTCATCGAGGTAATTATTCCTAAAAATCACTGGGAAGCCATGGAAAAATGCCAAGAATTGCATGGTTTGAATCTTTCAATTATACTTCGAAATGTTAGCAAATAACTGACTCATGGTCGCAAGTTGATCGCAAAGTTGATCATCGCGAAATGAATCAATCGTAGCTAATTTTCCAACCCTTTAAAAGAAAAACAGAATATGCCATCGGATCAATTCCGGCGATGAGGCTCCCTTCCTTGCGCTGCTCTGCTCCCGAGGAGCACTCGGTCTTCTTGACGTTTTAATTATAGACCTAGATGATAAAACGGCTCATTTTTCACACGACTCCAATTTCCAGGGCCAGCGCCGGCGAAAAGCGGCCTTCATTAAAATTTAGTTTTTAATTAAAATTTTACTTGTAATTTTTCCCACGACGCGACGTATCTTTGAGTAAAGGCCCTAACAAATTACCGCACGACCTGGACTCCCGTTCTGTGCCTGTGCCCAGCGGGTGTGTTTTTTGTGAAATAATGGAGTATTTTCCCCTGACCGGCCTACCCGAGGGAGAGTGTCACGCCGTGCCGGGGAATTGAGATCTTGCAATGAGGTCTTTATTTAAGCTAGCATAAATGCATCTGCGTTAAATTCCGCGTTATACTTCACCAATGAGAACAAAACAAGTAAGATGTGCTCAACTCCCACGTTTTATTGTCCACTCAGATAGTAAGATGATGCAAATTAGAATCGTCGGACCGGTTTTCATTGCATTATTGCTCATTTCAGATCTTTAATTTTCGAAAAGGCGCACAAATTACATTTTTTGGACTGGAGTGGTACAAACTATTATTCATTCCCCGCAAAATTGCGCCCAATCACTTACATTACTAGACTTATACACTATTATTATCTAGTCTGAATGACTTAGTTCCTTTGCGGCTTGTCCCGGCTTGTCTTGTCGTTCGGGACGTGATTCGAAGTTAAACTCATAGTTCAAACCCGTCAGCTCCGCAACTAGTGCAGTATGCTACAAAAAAATTTGTGTAAATTTTGAGTGATATACTGGTGTGGAGTGATACTGGAGTGATAGGTATCTGGATACCTCTCAGAATCATCAGCCTCAATTCCAACACCGTTACAGTTTATACCAATTCAATTACCGGCAAATTCCCTCAGGGGCGGTTTCGGTTTACGGTCTTATTCCTGTCCTGAGTCTCGTCAACTTTCTTCAGCAGCTGAGGCTTGAAAGGTTGTTACATGAAATTATTAATATATCGTGAGAGTATATTACTGGACAACCGTTTTTAAGTAGACTTAAACCTTAACCCGGCCTTTGTTCCAGAAGATGTTCCAGTTGTGCCAAGCGAGAAATACAAGGTGGAGTTGATCCAACTGAAAAATCAGTCGCAGTTTGAATTCAAACTGACGCTCTGCATCCGCAATTTCCAGAAGGAAGATGTTGGATCCTACCAGTGCGTCGCCAAGAACTCCATGGGAGAAATGGAAAGCAACATTCGAATCTATCGTAAGTTTCCATTCCGTTCTTAACTGGGAGTTCTCCGTCATTGAGCACATTTTGTTTGCATTTTTTTCAAAATTCAAGGACTGGCTTATTTTTAACCTTATTAACATGAAATTCGTGAAAGTAAGGGGGAGCATGGTTGTCCTGCTCAGCTGCTATGCGATGTTGCTGGATGCACTGGAAAAACAAACATTTGGATCTAGAGTCCAGACTCTTAAAAGCATCGACAAGAAAAAATACTCTTAATTCAATCAAATTTAAGCTTAAATCAAGAACCAAGCCTCTTAATTTGAGCGGATTTCCTTTTGATCTAAGCTTAAATCTGATTGAATCAAGAGTCCCTTTTCTTGTAAATGTTTTCAAGAGTCTGGACTCTAGATCCAATGTGTTTGTTTTCCCATTGTGTATGAGATCTGATCCGTGCGTGCGAAAATGATTTTTCGCGGCAACGGTAAACGGAAAAATTACCACAAATTTACTTAGTGCGGAAAAGATACACGTACTCTACCTGTGTCAGAGATAACCCCTGAAGGACGATTGTGAGGCTGGCAGAGTCAGCCCATTGCTCGTAATGCGGGCGTCTCTAAATGGGTCACTAAACCTTGTTTATTTTATTGAATATTCTAAAAGTACTATGTGAGTAGATAACGTGGTAATTTTTCCGCATTTTTATGGAGCCGAAATTGCAGAGAACACCGCTTTGGAAAAATCTAAAAACTGCAAGACATTTCAAACGCACCCGAATGGCGGGAAACTGACGGTGTTGATGCACTGCGGTAGTCATATCGCAATCTTCTCTCATTTTCCTCTGATGTTTGTCAAAATAAAACGTATTTCGATGTGGAATTGTTGCTTGTTTATTACAGCAAACATGTGAATGAGATTCGCGACTTGAATTCAAAATATGTAATTTCGACTTTAGTATTGTTCGTATATACGAAGAGGAGATAGACATTTGATGGACGTCGTGGAAACCCGTGCCCGCTTCTGATTTGTGCCGGATGACATCAATCGGTTCGGCGCGAAACCGGGGCGTTTTAAATTTGCGTATAAGTTGAGCGGTTTGAACTGCGCATTTCTCGGTTATTGAGTTACTTGTTCGCGTTTTTAATGTGCGCATCGTGTTCTACGCGTCATTTTCCATCAGAAAACTATATTCGCAAGTCAAAATTCGTTCATGCTTTAGTGACCCATTATTCTATCTCTTTTGGTGGAACAACGCAGGACGACTTCCCGTGACGCGCAGTTGAGATCAGATCGATGATCACCGATGATGCGTGAGCCGAGTTTTACGAGGCGGGGAAGCGGGCCGGAAAAACCGTGAGCCGCGGCCGAGCGGTAATTGCCGGGCCCGGGAACAGCCGGAATCGATGCGGAGGAAGGCATAAACCGGACGGAGCGCGCCCCGCACGTCGGGCGAAAATGTCCCCGAGTAATATGCGGACTAAATTGAAAACCATCGGCGCTAAGGAGCCGAGAATCAGGAACAACCCTTGAACTCGCCTCCAGGGATGGCTACCGCGCTCCGATACACTGTGTACATGGTCATTTACAGTGCGGGACCCTCCGTTTCCTTCCTCCCCATCTCGCATTGTTGCCGATCGAGCACTTTGAACTTTTTAGACACTCTCCTCCCATGCTGTCATGCTAAGGAAATGCCGTACGAACCTTCAGGCGTTGCCAAATTTCCTCTGATAATGTACGAATTTATGGGGGAAATTGTACATATTTTTCTTCCAATTTTTCAGAGTATTTCGTTCGAAATTTAATCTAAAATATCTGAAAATTTCCAGGAAAAATATGCATGAATTTCGTCAAAAATACTTGTTTTATCCGGGGAAATTTGGCAACTCTCGAATGTTCATACGGCGTTCTTCCTTAGCACGGCAGCATACTGCCGTGGTATGGAAAATGACCGTATTAACAATTGGACTGCATTTTGCAATTTGGACCTATAAATTCTGGCTCATCTGAAAAAACACTTATGTGCAAAGGGAAACTATTGGCACATACGTTGTTTTTAAACCGGGCCGGAATTTATAGTTCCTAATTGCAAAATGTGGTCCAATTGAGGATTGCTGAAGTTTCTCTTGTCTAGCGCCGTCTTCCGGAACATAAAAAATAATTTCACCGCGTTTTTCTTACGTGGAGGCTCAATTAACCGTTTCTTTCGCACTGATCTCAATAACATCAAAACGTTTAAGTTTTCGATAATCGCCTGGATTTTTCTGCGTTTTCACCTTCACTTCTTCAACCGCGCGTATTAATTCAACGTATTTAAAACTCGAGAAAAAATCACTAGACGCACTCTTAACACAAATATATCAAATATTTTTTATAGAAAAGAAAAAATTGCTTGATTTTGAAAGCATTGTAATCGCGTTGGTTCCTTTTTGCCAAATGTGATCCATAGGTAAGAAAAAATTCATACAATAGTATTTCATATGTATTTTATTCGTGTTATCTTTAGTTTTTGATATCCATATACAATATTCAAGACAGTTCTTCACATTTACCGCGGGAGTTGTTCATAAGTGCGCGGGCACCATAATATTTGGGCCTAATTTAGCAGATAGGCATCATGCCAGAGATTCCAAGCTGTGTTTCTTTATGAAACCAGGTTTAAATGTGAAGTAGGGTCCCTCTATTCAAACCCGGAATATTGTTCGTCGATGCTCAATTTTTTAAGGAGAGCATGTGCAACTTTTTGAACTGGAAACTACTGTCTACAAGTATTGCTCCCTCAAAATGTGTCTTCGCTCTTTTCTGCCTAATTTGGTCCAATTAATGCCAAATTGTTTTATTATTGTCTGGACACACTTGACAAATATGGTTGTTTCTGGAGTCTCCCAGTAGTCTGAAATGTAACCGCAGTCATTTTACGTATGTTCCGATTACTCCATTCCATACGTTATATGCTATCAAGAACTGTTCTTACTGTTCTGTTGGATGCACAACCTTTAAGGGAGACTTCAGAAATCTTAAATTATTAGAATTTTCTATAAACGGGAAGTGTAAATCAACGTAGACAAAATTATTTATTTCTTAATTTATGAGTTGAATTAGGAAAGTGCTAATAATGCATCTTTTGTAACCTAGGTAAACTTTCCATAAAGGGATACTGAAGAAAAAGGTGGGTAGAATTTACCATTCCTTCACGCAGTATTTCACACAGCGTCAATTCAGAGTCAATTCTGCCTGAAGAAAGGTAAACGTTACCATATACTGGTACGGGTAACCATTCTCCTGGTAGAATCGACCTTGATTTCACGCTGTGTAAAATACAGCGTGAAGGAATGGTATATTCTACCAATCTTTTTTTCAGTGAACAATGAGCCTGTCGCAAACTTCAGCTAGAGCAGAAAGAAGAGTCATTTCTTACAACAAATTACTTTAAAATCACAATAAGCGCATCGGGACCGTCAGAAATACACTCCTCGCTTCTTAAATCTATGGGAGGAATATACGTTGTTTTAAGCTTTCCGCTTTCTTAACGATACCATGGCACAGGTGAACATTTCCCAAGAGGAGTCGTTCCATCCAACACTCGCACACTAGGTGACTACGAAATATTTAACATGGCAGATGGCAACCCGCAAAAACCCACGTGACCAGACGGGATATTACCAACCAGCATGATAAGATACGGTTTATTGATCGCAAAGTGCAATGAAACATTTGGACAAAGGTACAGATATAAGTAAACATCACACATTATCAAAAAACAACAGCAATGATTAATTAACCCTAGTCTGCCTGAGCCTCTGAACCAACGAGAAAGCCTGAGCGGGGTCAATTTGACCCCAGCCGAAAATCAATTAGTTAGTTATGTTTTTTTTTCATGTTTTTAGTAAATATCAGTGCACTAACCTTACAGGCCTTAACCATAAAGCATATCTAAGTTTTAAAAAACACGGCGCAGGGTATGCAACCATTTTATCATACACATGTTGCCATGTTGTTCTCAGCATGAGAAAAAAAAATCATAGGGCTACTAAATACTGAAAACGAAAAAAATCTGAAAAATTTTGCTTGTTTTTTAAGTTTCTGAAAAAAATTAAAAAGAGAAAAATGAATACACCTTCAAAGTAAGCTTTTGTGATGCTAAATGGTAAAATATATGTTATAAGGATATCTGACCCCGCTCAGGCTTTCTAGGGGTACTCGTGAATTTTTTGATCTCTCATGCACATTTTTTTTTCCCCCTTCAAAATCGTGTTCCTAGATGTTTTTGTAGAGCTATTAGTGAAGGACAAAAAATTTCGTGCATACCACGAGAAATGGCAAAGAGTTGAAACTCCCGTGGGGTCAATCTGACCCCACTCAGGCAGACTAGGGTTAAGTGCATTTTCAAGTCAATTACCAAAGCCACCAATAACTAAGGGCAAAGTTGTAAAGAAAATTATAATAAATGCGTGAGAAGTTACGACAACATAATATAAATGTTCATTTGATGAAGAAGATCCAACATTTATAAGCTCAGAACGAATAATTATACTAAAAGAAATTCCAATTAATCCTCTCCAAATACCAAACATAAAATATAAAACACAAATATCTTTATGATAAGTTGAAAAGCCACAGTATTAAGCTTTTTCTAACAATTCAGTGACGTAGTAGGTCTTGCCCTCAAAAGGTGTTCTAAGGCATCTTTGAATTAGAATTGGATCGGTTGTCTTCTTGACTGCTTTTGAGAGGTGGTTTTACATTTTTATGCATTGGTGTTTTCAGTTTATTTTATCGGCTACATCTACACACATAGATGTTATGAACAAGGCGATTTCTGTCCGCCATATCTGGTAGTCACCAGTAAAGCCTCAGCAAAAAGTTGAACAATATCTCGATTGTTCGATTTTTTTTGCGGACATGCGGTAGCCGGAACTGAGAATCTTGGCTACAGCCACTGAGATTTTAAAGTTCTGTATCGGAATTGTTTAAACTCAGCGCTCGAAGCCGTGAAGTCAAGGTCCCTCTTTCTAAGTTTGGACCCCCCATATGTTTTG